GACTATACATCATTCGGAGGGGTTTTTACAGGCCCTGTAACATGGGGTAAATGTCACCTCAAGAGAATTTGTAATGACAAAAGAGTTTTGTAAAAATAGTGCAAGATTTTGGACAACGGCTAACATACCAACACAAATCCTGCTCCTATTCACAACCCTGCACCCTGCTTTAAACTATCAGTCTCTCTAGGGTCTTCTTATAGGATGTTTCCAACAGACTTGAATAATTGGGTTCCAGGAGTGTACACTTGAGAGTGTAAAATATGGCTACACCTCACCAAGCTCCGGGCAGTGATATAGAATAGATTTTTTAGTATAGCTTATTTGAGAGGAACGCAGATCGTACCACAGTGATTTCTGAACACCAATAGCTTATGGTAAAAGCGTTCAAAACACTGTACTAACTACACTAAAGTGTAGAGGTTTGGGCTGTTACTGTAGTGACTATACTATTTAAAAATGAAAGTAATGAAAACAGTATTTTTCTCAGCACTAAAATAGTTGTGTGGAATACTCCATTACTCTAAAAGCATTTACCGTCCTCATCTCAACATATATACACACATGCTGAAGTACTTTTAATGTACAATATATAACATGAAAACCCTTATAAGTGTATTTTTCTAATACAAACACACTACATGACTGTGCAGTTATGAGCAAACACTTGTAACTCACAAGATAGCCTCCCCAGGATTCTCAGGTGTATAAAAATCTTTGGACTAGCGATTAAACTCTGATATAGGTTAGTTGTACCCCATCTTTTGCAGTTCTTTATTTTGTCTTTGAAGTAGTACTGCAAGAAGGTGATATTTGTTCAAAATGTCTGTTTTAAAGCATGTGGAAACTCTGCATACATACCCAACTGGATACATACCCAAACTGACTAGATGGCATTTTAGGTTTTTCATTTTAGAAACTGCATTTAATTCAGAAAGTGGTCATGGTTTTCACAACATTCTGATAAACCAAGTGCAAGGCCATTTTCCAAAGACCTTTTAAAAAAAAAAGGAAAAAAACATGTTTAGGCACAAATTAGCCACATAAGCAAATAAAACTTCATCTAAGTCCTAAAGCTGAAACACTGTTCACTGTGTTGACTATGTGTAGCACCCTACCACCTAGTGGCCTGTTGTATAAATCTAAACATGTAATGGTATGCAGTTTACCTAATCTCTCTACTGCAGATTTCTCTCCAGTCACCAGCTATGTGAATTCATGAACATATCCCATCTTGTTGAAGCAGCTGTTTCTGCTAGTTGCTAGAACATGCTGGACTGCATTTACCTCACTTCAAAGAAGAAATGCAGTTGTGCTGCAGCATGGAAACAAAGATTTGTATAACTATTAGCATGTTGAATGGCTGAGGCAGAAGACAATTGATGCATAACTACTATATTGATGGAAGTGGCTTATCTAGCAAAAGAGTACGCTGTCCCCAGCACAGAGGAGGCTGTAGAGGTGCTGTCCTACCCTTTCTCTGTGGAGCTGTCAAGCCCCCAGCTGCAGTGATCTCTTGGGCTTTTGCCACCATTTCCACTCACACACAGGATCCAGTGTGGGGCTCCTGCTGCTCTTTTTCAGTGCAGTGGGATTTGTGGGGCTGCCACTCTTCTCCACACCCCTTCCCGATGCACTGTGGATGCCACTGCCCCTACCTCACGAGCAGCCTGGTAGGGCTGCTCTCCATCCCTGTTGCTCTAGCTTTCTGGGGGCACGTCTTCACTACCCGCCGGATCAGCGGGTAGCAATCGATCTATTGGGGATCGACTTATCGCATCTAGTGAAGACGCGATAAAATCGATCCCCAATGGCTCTGCCGTTGATTCCGGAAATCCACCGCGGCAAGAGGCGGAAGCGGAGTCGACGGCGGCGCGGCAGCGGTCGACTCGCCGCCGTCCTCACAGCCAGGTAAGTCGACCTAAAATACGCAACTTCAGCTACGCTAGTCACGTAGCTGAAGTTGCGTATCTTAGGTCGACCCCCCCCCCTCCCCCGTAATGTAGACCTAGCCTAAGACATACACTGCCCCACCCCACTGCCACAATTGGCTCATGGAGCTGCTAGTACACACATCCATTCCCATCCAGGTAAAGTTTGAGGTGAACTGGAGCTGCCTGCTGAAGTCTGTACAGCTTAGGGTGACCAGATGCCCCGATTTTACAGCTACTGATGAATGAATATCAGTCTGGGTATACTTCTGTGAACGTCAGACTCTGGTGCTATTGTTCTGGGAACATACATAATTATGCAATGACTTAAAGCAGTGGTTTTCAAACTGGGGTACGTGAGCTCTTGTAAGGAGGTAGGCAAGAAAAATCCTGTAATGGTAGACAACTCATTTTATTTAGTAAGACTTGGAAATCTACTCATATGTATATTATGACCCTAGCTCAGATGGAGGTATGCGGTAGACTACATTATTTGGAGAGGGGTACGCAGCCTAAAAAGTTTGACAAGCATTGCCTTAAAGTAAAGAAATAATAAAAGCGATGCTCCGGGTCCTGTCAAAGCTGAGATATCAAATCCTACCCACCTAGTTTTCCCCCCAAAGGGGATGAAAACAGCAAAAAAGCTATAGACCTTGCCAAAAAGGAGGTGCTATTTCAGCATGCATTGAAATTCTAAGGACAGCACTAAGCCAGTTGACATCTCATCTGGTAGCGCCAAAGAATAATTAATGGCAGACATAGAATATCAAGGTTGGAAGGGACCATCTAGTCCAACCCCCTGCTCAAAGCAGGACCAATCCCCAACTAAATTATCCCAGCCAGGGCTTTGTCAAGCCTGACCTTAGAGGTTTTTAAGGAAGGAGATTCCACCACCTCCCTAGGTAACCCATTCCAGTGCTTCACCACCCTCCTAGTGAAAAAGTTTTTCCTAATATCCAACCTAAGCCTCCCCCACTGCAACTTGAGACCATTACTACTTATTCTGTCATCTGCTACCACTGAGAACAGTCTAGATCAGTCCTCTTTGGAACCCCCTTTCAGGTAGTTGAAAGCAGCTATCAAATCCCCCCCTCATTCTTCTCTTCTGCAGACTAACTAATCCCAGTTCCCTCAGCCTCTCCTCATAAGTCATGTGCTCCAGCCCACTAATCATTTTTGTTGCCCTCCGCTGGACTTTCCAATTTTTCCACATCCTTCTTGTAGTGTGGGGCCCAAAACTGGACACACTACTCCAGATGAGGCCTCACCAATGCCGAATAGAGGGAAATGATCATGTCCCTCCATCTGCTGGCAATGCTCCTACTTATATAGCCCAAAATGCTGTTAGCCTTCTTGGCAACAAGGGCACACTGTTGACTCATATCCAGCTTCTCGTCCACTGTAATCCCTAGGTCCTTTTCTGCAGGACTGCCGCCTAGCCACTCAGTCCCTAGTCTGTAGCAGTGCATGGGATTCTTCCGTCCTAAGTGCAGGACTCTGCACTTGTCCTTGTTGAACCTCATCAGATTTCTTTTGGCCCAACCCTCTAATTTGTCTAGGTCCCTCTGTATCCTATCCCTATCCTCCAGCGTATCTACCACTACTCCCAGTTTAGTGTCAACTGCAAACTTTCTAAGGATGCAATCTACGCCATCCACCAGATCATTAATGAAGATATTGAACAAAACTGGCCTCAGCACCGACCCTTGGGGCACTCCGCTTGATACCGGCTGCCAACTAGACATGGAGCCATTGATCACTACCCGTTGAGCCCGATGATCTAGCCAGCTTTCTATCCACCTTACAGTCCTCTTACAAGAAGGCTGGTAACTGGCTGGTTCCTCTTTTCCCCACTCCAGAAGCAGGTGGTGGGCCAGCATTATTTTTAGTGACTGGGCATTGGGTTTATATAATGCACAGCTGTGGAGCTGAGTAAAGTTTAGAGGAGCACAAACAAACATACACAGGCCCATATCTATTTTTCTTGGCATTCCTGATACTGGAAACTCACCCCAACAGACTTATTTTTAAATCTATTAAAAGATCCCCCACATTTCCCCCCTAGACTGATACCTCATATGACATATTTCAGCTAGAAGCACACTTTTCCAGTAGAATTAAAATCCGCTGAAAACCCAGGGTTATGTAACGGAAACAATGAGAGCTCCTTAACTACAATGACCTCAGAGCACTACTATCCCCAAATAAACCATTTCCTTAGCACAGCTCTCCTGACATGGTGGTTAGAAACCATTGAATAAGTTTCATAACAGAAGTGATAATTGAAGAAACAATGAATTCTGAGTTATCAACTAATTCACTATAGCTTCATGAAAAACAAACCACCACTTTTCCCCCCATGGTCAAACGTATGAGCATGTGAATTGTAGTAGCCCAAGAATCTCTATTTTTTTATTTAAACATTAAGTATATGTTAATAGCCTAAATATAACTCAGAAAGTTCATTATTGTCTATTACAGCACCCCCCAGGTTGCTTTAACTTGTGCCAAGGCAAAGGCAGATCAGGAACTGCAAGATTCCCAAATAGCATCCTGCTTTGCTGCATCCAGCACTAAATCTGCTCCAATGAATTAAATTAATCTCTGGTGCTACTGGATTGATTTCAATAATATACAAAAGCTTTTGCTCCAAGAAGAAGCCTTCGGGAGAGTACTTGTATCAATAGGAAGTGAAGACGGAAGTACAAAAAACGAACACTTTAGTAGAGGTAGTGTTTTCATATGCACGGACTTAGTCTTGTGTTTGATATTTTAAATAAGGAAAATACATACAGTAAATCAATCTTTTATTATAGAGATGTATCAAACACGGTTTGAGGTATACCTATGTACACATTAAAGCTGTTAGCTGTTCTGTTCACTGTTAATAAATATTTCATAATTTTTAAGAAGTCCATGTACTTCTGTTCTCCATGCTTCTGTGGTGTTTTTATGCAAATCAAAGGGCATTTCATAATTCTGTTACACTGAATTGCTTGGTTAAGTGAACACTGTCTTCAGCATAAACTTTCATGACAGTATAACTTCCTAGAGCACAGTAGTATAAAAGCTCTTATAAAGAGCAGTACAAAAGAAGTATCATTAAAGCTAGCAATCTGTGTTAACATAACTACACCTATATTAGAAAATAGGCATCCTGTATCAATAGATTTCAGAAAAAAATATTGAGATTGGTTTCTGGGTCATCTTCGGTTTCTGACTCTTCCTTATTCTCTGAAGAGGTGCACACGCCAGGCTCTTTATCTGGTTTTCTTTTTCTTCTGTGAGTGTACACAGAATGAGTCTTCTGTATCATCTCACGAGGTGAGTTACTCATGCTGAGTTCAGTTTTCAAAGCTAACTGTAGGCAGTTGTAAAACCTGGAAAGGAACAAGAACGTATTTATTATGTTTGCTTATGTTCTGCAAACAGAACATTAACACTTCGGCAACACAAAATGTCGCGTATAACGTTTCATATCTAACTAAAATCCAAAGGCAGACCTGATCAGTATTGTGAGGGGGACTCAGGGATACCAGCACATATGTTCTGTGCATGCTCTGTCAGTTGTCTAATCTCTGACCTTCTAGGAATCTAATTGACAGTTATGCCCTATGTATAATGAAAGTTCCATTCATATTGCTGAAAATTACACAACAGATGATCTCAAACACTTTTATGGTTTGCATCACATCTTAATAGCGTCTAATGGTCAATCCTATTCATAATCAGATGCACCATCATCACTCCCATTTGCAATTACTTTAACATCCCTGTGGCAACTACAGCAATTAATTCAGAAAAATATTTTAAAAATATCTAAATATGTTTAACTGTCCTTGGTGCAATTAAGTGTTTTGTCCTGTATCCTTTTGCTCTGTATTTCTTCTGCCCACCCTCTTTTGTTTTTCACAACTGGAAATGAGTAGAAAAGCCAGTACTGTGTAACTAGTCACCAGCAAGTGTTCCACAGACCACAGTTTGGGAACCTTAGACTAAAATTTGTACAGCAACGTTAATGGGTGCATTCTAATTTGAATACTTAGGAAATTATGTGTAAATTCCTGTAGATTAAAATGAGATATTCCTGGCTTCATCAAAAGGTGAATCTCCTGTCCTTAAACATTGTAAAAATCTAATCAAACACAAACTCCACATGAAGATGCAGCTGTGGAAGTTAATATTCTGAGACTAGAACTCAATGTGCTATTCATGCCATATATCTGGAGCAACAATGGGAAGTCCTGTATGGACTTTTTAAAAAGCTCTGTAACAAATCTTCTCTCCACTACCTGATACTGTTGCTTATATATGATTAAACGATCCTCTAGGGTCATCCATAATTTAAAAATACCAAAATCCTCTGAGATCAGATTTTCAATCTGTTTTACTATTATTTTTTGTGGCTAATCTTCCTGGTCTACTGGTTAGCAGACAAATGTTACACTTCTCTGGATTTAGATGTAGTGACATAGGATGCACATGATCTAACAAACCTGTCAATTCTCTTCATGTTTTCTTCCATCTTCCGATTAGCTATCTGTACCAGAAAGTCAACATATTCTTCAGTGACCATCAATTTCCCCATGTGACTTAATGGAACTTCTAAGCAATGAGTACTCCGGACAGCCTAGAGGCACACAGATGTATTCATTTGAATTACATTAGGAGATAATAGCTCTAAAAAGTAGGTGCATTCATTACAGGAAAACCACCTGAAAAGATCTGGTTGTATTTCTTTGTGGGGAGAGTGATATGCCATGTCAGGAAAGTGTCATTTTTAAATTATTATTCAAATCTCCCACATACTTAAAAATGTGCTCATGTTAATAAATAATTGCTAAATTCTATAGCGAAGTAGAAAAATAGTGCATACCATCATAATTTTACCTCTTCTGCCAACTGTAATACCAGAGTTCCTGAATCCAGAATCTATAGCCACCGAGTGCTGTGAAACAAAAACATTTTAAACAGCAGTTCATACATATTTTGTCAGACTGAAAGCTTACTGTGGATTATATTGCAAGTTAAGGTCCCAATTTTGCAAAAGCTTAAAGGGCATAGTCCCAACTGACTGCATTAAGAGCCACAATCACTAGTAAGTGTTTACAGGATCAGATGCTAATACTGTAACAAAATACTTTTAAATTAAATTTCAGTGACAAAGACAGATGGTAGTTTCAGTCTTGACCCATTCCATCAAGACAAAGGGGGAAGTTCATACCTCTTTTGGCACTACATTGTTCCAGTTTAAATAGCGGCTAGTCGAAGCCAATTGTGGGATGGATATGTTCTTAGATGTAGATTCTGCAGAACTCAGCAAAGTTTGTAGAAAGATTTTCTTCCCTATATTAACCAAGGCAGGGTGAAGATGAGGAACAAAATGATCCTGTGCAGGCCTACAAAGCCCCATTTGAAAGGCAGAAGGCCCAGCATTATCCACTTAGCTGAAGTCTGGGAGCAAATGGTCCCAGTCAGTAGCGAACTAATTTCTAAAGAACACTGCCATGGGCCAGGGAAAGCAACACAGATAATTCAGGCTCTCTCTAGCCAGTCTGCCTCAGCTAGAAGACTGAGGTGCATTTAAGTGGTTTTATTTTCTAGAAAGCACAGCAAAATCTGCAGAAAGAATCTTAATCCTTATTTTCTCCATCAACATACTTTTACTACCCCAGTTATTAAACATACATTGCTCCTGAGACTATTTCTAAGTGTTAAAATATTGAGGTGCCAACATTTTTACTTATGCAGCAACAAATGTAAACAAAACAATACAACATTGTTGATCTAATTTTACCAGAAGCTGTGCATCCTGCAACTCTTGACACTGCACATGAAGAATGAATGGTTCAAATTTAAATACAGTGTCACCAGTGGCTTTCTGCAACGCTGTCATCTGGAAAATGCAATGAACATTAATATATTAATACTACAAGGGTGAACTGTTACTATTAACATTTCATAATAAAATAGCTAGTTTGTGAAATGTTTAAAAACACCAGGAATGATTTGGCTCAAACAATCATGTTTGTTATTATTTAATTGCTTTTAACTTCCCATTGCTCATAATGCTGAGGATCTCTGCTGATTTTTAAGTATTAAACTGATTCTCTTGCCATGAATTTCTACTGGACCTCGACTTTAAAAAAAAATATTATTTGCTTCCCTGTTTGATTATTTTGGACATAAGAAAAACCAATGATGTCAGCACAGCATAGAGAGTATTGTTTTACTACAGTCAGCAGAGGAACCTCGAGAGCACAAAATATTACTACTACTCAGTTATAGTTTGTTTTTGATTTCTTACATTATTGGAAATGATCACGGACATGTTGATTCTGAAGCACATTCCTCTTAAACTTGTGGCCTGAACTACTTGACCTTATTTTAATCTAGGTTTCAAAAATGACTCATTATACTACTTCTATGATAATGTTAAAATAAGATAAAATAAAAGGATTTATAAACTGAAATTAAACTCATAAGGCACACCAAGGGGAAAAAATAGATAAACAGTTACATAGCTTTAATACTCTAAAGGATGAATTTCACCCTAAGGTCCCAGTTTTGACTCAGGGCTCTAACTGGAAAATCTTCCTGCAACATTTTTCATGTAGATCACTTGAACTTAGGCAAATATGAACACAGAGCAATTAAAGAGAATTCTGCATAATAACAGTTATAATTTATTATTGTATGCTATGTTTATGTAAAATAAATTTAAGGATTGAAATTATTGGTTTTAGTTTATAAAGGCTGCATTGAAACAGTTACATTATTCATTGCAGTTTACACCACAGTCTACTACTATATAATGTTCTAACTCTTTTGTTCTTATCTAGTGTTCTTATATCTAATTGACTTGCCTCCCCCACATCCCGTGAGCATCTTTAAAGAAAATACTAGTAGCTACCAATTTGCTATACTTATATTTAGGAAAAAAAATTGAATTGCTGCACCATGCTTAATTCTTTTTTGGCTAGCATCCTTCCCCAATGCTTCCTTTAAATTGAAAATATTTCTTTAATCCTTTTTTAAAATTGAGAACTGTGAAAAATTCAACTATTATCTGAAAACATCCACTCAATGTGCAGTGGCAGTCAAAAAAGCGAACAGAATGCTGGGAATAATTAAGAAAGGGATAGATAATAGGACAGAAAATATCATGTTGCCACTATATAAATCCATGGTACGCCCACATCTTGAATACTGTGTGCAGATGTGGTCACCCCATTTCAAAAAAGATATATTGGAATTGGAAAAGGTTCAGAAAAGGGCATCAAAAATGATTAGGGGTATGGAACGGCTTCCGTATGAGGAGAGATTAATAAGACTGGGACTTTTCAGCTTGGAAAAGAGACGGCTAAGGGGAGATATGACTGAGGTCTATAAAATCATGACTGGTGTAGAGAAAGTAGATAAGGAAGTGTTGTTTACTACTTCTCATAACACAAGAACTAGGGGGTCACCAAATTAAATTAATAGGCAGCAGGTTTAAAACAAATAAAAGGAAATATTTCTTCACACAGCGCACAGTCAACCTGTGGAACTACTTGCCGGAGGATGTTGTGAAGGCCAAGACCATAACAGGGTTCAAAAAAGAACTAGATAAATTCATGGAAGATAGGTCCATCAATGGCTATTTGCCAGGATGGGCAGGAATGGCGTCCCTAGCCTCTGTTTGCCAGAAGCTGGGAATGAGCGACAGGGGATGGATCACTTGATGATTACCTGTTCTGTTCATTCCCTCTGGGGCACCTGGCACTGGCCACTGTCGGAAGACAGGATACTGGGCTAGATGGACCTTTGGTCTGACCCAGCAGGGCCATTCTTATGTTCTTATTAGTTTAAGATACCAGTAATAGTGGTGTAAAATAAAACTGCCGAGGAGCCTATCTTCCCCTGTAGACTATTGTACAAGATTTAGATGTTCTTGTGTAGCGTTCTCTTTCTGTAACGATCCTTGTTATTAAGGTATCAATCTTACAAATGTAGGTGCTTAAAGTTAGGCCCCTAAATAAATGGCCTCCTTTTTAGATGTGCTAAGCACCCACTGCTACTAGTGGAGCCAATGGGAACAGGAGATACTCAACAATTCTTAAAAACCAGATGCCATAGGCCCTGATCCTGCATTATGCAGCATACAGGTTACCTGCTGTGTCTGCATAGCCCCACTGGCTTCAAATGGGCACAGCAGTCTGCCCATGCACTGGGCTTACGTATGGATTTTTCAGTGTCTGAAAAATTTTAAGTATTATAACAGAATTTAATATTGACTGTGATCAGACTAAGTGATGTTGGTGGGTGTACTTTTTTAAAGGGTTTCTGTTTCACTGACAAGGCTAAGTAATTTAGCAGACACTCTAGGGACAGTTTTTTCAGTGACAGTAAATGGGCAAGAAAGTCATACTGACTAAAATGGTCTGTGTATGTTAGTATGCCCCAAGGCCGCAGTGACTTACTTTGCCTGTTGCACCGAAATGCTTACTAAATGAAATAATTGTGACCAAAGGATTTTACCTTATTGCTTCTAGACCACCAATTTCCTGTAAAAGGCTCAGAATTTAATAAGAAAATACTGAAAGTAATTTCCTATTAAGCCTACAAAGTCTGAGGCCCAGCCCAGTCCCCAATGGAGTCAATGGCAAAACCCCCAGTGGGAGCTGGATCGGACCCTTAGTCAGTAAACAGCGAAAGCATAACTGCTGTAACTAATTAATAAAAAATGACTATCACTGATAAGATATGCGAGTGACAAAGAAAGAAGTTCCCTTATTTCAAATACACTAATGTTTAATAAAGAATTATATAGAAAAGTTTTGCCATGTGTTGATTTAATGACCATGGACAGCATGCTCACTGTCTCATGGAACACTACGGAGTCCCTGCTACAAGAAACTTGCATTCTAAGGCTCTGAACCTACAGATGCTTGTGGGTGGATCCTTTTGTGTGCACAGATATCCATGGACTCTAACGGGAATCTGTGAGGGTGCAAGAGTCTTCCTATGAAGATTTTACAGTAGTCAAACAGCAGTCCTATAAATGAGGAATATAACTACTAATATTCCTCTGTATATTCTTCAAAGAATAGGGTTGACAAATCAATGTAGGTTGACTTTCACAGTCCATTAGGAAAAACTGTACACCACTTTGACATTGTTATATAATACGTTGCGCAATTTTAAAATATTACTTTTTAATGGTTTTCTTCTTGTTGAATAAGACCCAGAAATCTTTTGTGAAGGGATGTTTTATAAACAAAAAAAACCCTACACCTTTCCTCAAAGGATCTTAAAGATAGCTATAAAAATTAATTACTCCTCAAATTTCCTATTCCCATTTTAAAGTGGTAGATACACATCGAGGCACAATGGGGTTAAGTAGCTTGCCTGCTGAAAACTCAACACAAAATTCAGGAGTTCTGACTTCCAGTCCAATTTTCCACACTTTATGTTTGTATTCTATGAAAATATAACAATTTTAAAAGTAGTCCGGTAAAGATTTCTCACACCTTTAATGGATGCATGAACATTTTTACCGTATCTACCAACTAGAAGTCAATACAAAAATTGAGACGGTTCCCATTAGCAAGAGCCAATGGCAATACCCTAGTAAGCTCAGACCCCACTCCTACTAGATGGCAAATCAGAGGCTGCTGAGATTTATATGAAGGTGATATCAAGTAAACTAAGAAAAAATAAGATAGAGGAGCTTTTTTAAGTTTAAATGTATGTATATTATTGTTATGCAGTCTTTACAGTTTTTTTTTTTTTAACAGAATAACTAGTTTCATTGTATGGGGTACAATGTAAAGAGGAGCATTTAGAGAGCAAAAGACAGTTTTGGAAGCACAAAGTAGTTCATAAATATTCAAACTGTTCAACAGTGTCTTAAACTGATTTGATTTTAGGTTTCAAAACATTTTTTAGGATATAATTTTAATTTAAAAAACTGCATAAGAAAGTCATTGTCTTTTTGCATTTGTTCAGATTTGTAGTTGTAAGCTATGGCTGTTTCAATCTTAAAATGAAAGTTGTTAAAATTAAATCATAATGGAGTTTCTGCTGCATACAAAATAACAAATATGCTTTTTCGGAAAGCATGTCTGCCTTTTAATGAAGAGGACAGAGGTCCATTTGTGTTTGCTTCCTTATCTGCTCCCCCGGATAATTAATCATGCATGACAGAATATCCACAGCTCAGAATATTTAACTCTTGCAAGGATTAGCAAGGGTAACAAGATTATTATATGGATAACATGAATATCTAGTTACCATAAATAATGACAAATTGTAAGGGACATTAAACTTCATGCTTCAGACAATCTCTGACTATTAGAAAGTAGGATAAAACTTAATGCAGGAGGCAGATTATCCTGCATCTGCATACCTTCCTCTGTCGCATCTGATGCTGGCCACTATCTGAGATAGGATACTGACTAGACATACCTTAGTTATGATTCAGTCTGGCAATTCCTCTGTTCCTATTAGAGGGAAGTTTTGTTTCATTGCTACCATTAATTCAATTCAAACTGCTAGTGACAAAGTCATTACCATCTGAAGACTGTCTGGTCTATGGAAAGTGAGTTTATGGTGTCAGACTAGTTCCTACTGGAGGTGTCTACATCAGTCACTCTACAGCTGACATCTATGTTGCTTGCCTCAGTGGAGACAGCCAGAATTAAATGAATGGTCATGGATGCAAAAATACATTCTTACCACAGAAGTGATCCTTCAATACAGAATTGAGACACACTTGCCAGAAACTTGACTGTACTTATTCTATGGATAAGGAAAGGGCTTCACAAGCACTAAATTAATATTTTTAGGAGGAAAAAAGCTGATGCAGAATCAGCACAAAATGCTGGTCTTGTGCAAACCATGCAAAATGTCTAACTAAAAACCACTGAAAGTGGTGGATTTTATAACCTGCTGACATTGTACTCTAGTTCATTATTTTAAGAAGGAGACAAAATTTTGACACTAGCCCTGTTTATATTGAGCCATATTACCGACTTAAACCATGCTCTTGCTAGAAAGGTGCTAACAATGTTGCCAGCTAACGTAGACAGAATTTTATCCTAATAACAAAACTGTGCTCTTAAATGAACATAATCATTCTACTAATATGAAGAAAAAATGTAAATTCTTTCCTAGTTTCTATTTGAAATTGTGTTTTTTGGATGGTTGGGATGAGGAGAGGGTAAGTACTTATGCATAAATGTTGTACATTATTCACATCTTACCACATCCTCTTTTGCACAGAGTTGATGCGTTACCATGAGCCAAGAACAGTTTTTCTTCTGTACCTCATAGCCATTGAAACCCTAATGAAAAACAAATTATTAAAATAGCACTACAGTTATAAAAACAAATGTCCTTTGCATTCTTGGCTTGGGACACAAGGATTTACAGAAATATTCTCTGATCAATAACCATAACTATATCAACAATCTCAATGTTATTTATTTATATAACTTTCATGTGATTTTTTTTTTAAACTATCAAATCTAGGTAGGTATTTACACCACCTAGATAACAGTAGCTAAGCAGGTAGTTTAATTTAATCCTGAATATTAATGGAAAAGTGTTCTGATTTCACCCACATTCAGCTGTAGCAATGTGATCTAGTATTTGCAGAAAAAAACCACAAAGATGCGAATTCAAGATCTTTGAAAGAACTTTTGTGGTGTCGCACTGATTAATATGAAAAATTCAATTAGATGTATCTAAACATGAACCTCATGATGGGAAGCAACAAAATACAATCATATATGCTTTCCCCATACCACCTTACACTGGGAATGTTCTCTATTAAAATTTATTTACCGTACATTTTGGAGTTTGAGTTATGCACACAACTAATCTAAGGACCTGTTTATAGTGGGAATATTTGTACTGATGCAGCTACACCACTGCAAAACTGCAGATGTGCTGCACTGGTGTATTATGGGATCTTAAAATTCTACATCTCTAACATTTAAATAAGGAACTAGCATGTTCTTCTGTGTAATCTAATCTGCACTTTGCATATAAAACTTGTGGTTTTGATAAATTTGTGGAGAGTGCATGATGAAAATTAAGTCCATGAAAAATCATGTAGTATAATTTGTTAAAGGAGATTGGTTGTAATTATCATTACTACAAATCAGTGTGTCAAGACTTAACAATCAGTTGCTTGGGAATGGCTAAAGAATATTAGGATCTGGATAGAACTGCCAATTTAAAACTTTGTCCTCTGGGAGAAACACTCTGACTACACTATATTTTTGGTGTTGCTCAGATCCCAAAATGATAGTTGGTTGCCAGATTAAAACTCTAGACAGATCATGTGATTCAAATGTCAGATGCTGGTGCTGTGTCAATTCTACTTTTATTTTGGTATACTTTAGTGTTCTGTGCTCTTAGTTTACATCACATAAACAACAACAATGAAAATGAGATCATCATATGAAACTGAGCAAGGACTGATGCCAAGTCTTCCTACAGCATAAGGTGGAGGGAGAAATGAACCACATGCTTTCAGTAAACTTCTCTTCTACGCTAGTGCTGCTATAAACACCATGGTGAATTTGCTATAAACACCAAAAACTTTAACTGTAATATTCCAAAAACTATTCATAAGCTGGATAAGAGACAAAGGTGGGGTGGGACAGGATATAACATCTCCATGTAGCTGCAGAACAGAAAAGACTACAGCACGCACGTAACTAGGGATAACCTGGGCCAGGACTTGTGGGTTGTAAGGGCCATGCCTCCTGCACGGGGGCAGTTGAGCTTGGGGTGTGTGTGGGGGGGGGTTATTATGGGGTGGGTTTCTGGCCCTGTGACCTCACGGGAGCCCCAGCTCGAGAACAATGGGCGCCAGAAGGGAATCCCAGCGCTGCACAGGTGACGGAGGGTCCCCAGGAGGCGCAGCGCGGAGCCTGCTGGGCAGCGCTGACAGCGCGGGCGCTTCAAAGTGGGGGGGTTGTCTCCGGAGCGGAGCCGCGCTCGGCGCTGTCTCTCCACCATGACACCCCCCCTTTCCTCAGACCACTGCCAGCGCTGCCGGGGAGCCACTCGCCCCACGCGGGCTTGAGGGGGAGGCGGCCCCGGGGGTGTGGTGGGGTCTGTGGTGCGGCCCCGGGCCCGAGGGAGGGCAGCCGGACTCACTCGGGCGGGGGCCTGCGCGAGCAGGAGGCGGCCGGCGCAGGAGCTGGTGGTGCAGAATCGCTCCTGCCCGTTGAGGAGCTGCACTAGCTCCGCGATGGCCTCGTCCACGCTGCCCTTCCTGCTCTCGTCCGCCCGGGCCAGGCGCTGCTCCTTCCAGCGCCGGAAGGCGGCCATGGGTTCGCGGGGACGGAGAGCCGGGCCGGGACCGGCAAGCGGGCGAGCCCCAGGCTGCACAGCCGCCCTATTGGCTGATGGTGGCCGGGTTGGGCCAAACCTGCCGGCCCGGCTGCAAAGCGCGCCGGGCACTTCCGGGCTGGGGGAGGGGCTCTGTGTGCCGTATCGCCGAGTAGAAGCCGGAAGAGGCGGGCTGGATGGGGGAGGGTCTAACGGCCCTGGGGATGGGCGGGGCGCTGGTGCTGAGCGGGCGGAGCTGCTGCTACCTGAGGAGGTCGGACCGCGGGAGGTGAGGCGGCCTCGCGGCTGGGGGGTTACGCCGTTAGCCGCGGGAGCAGGGAGTGGTTGCAGGGCGGCTAGAGGGCCCGGAACTGAGGGGGGCCTGAGGGCAGGGCCGGTTCCGAGCGGGAGGGCGCGGAGACCCGCCGGCTCTGGGGAGCCCCAGGGAGACCCCTGCTCCTGCGCCCCCGGGGCCTCGCTCCCTGTGTCCCGTGTCCGGGCTGAGGCCGCTTGGCTGGAAACGGGCTAACCCGCTCCTCGGTAGCGGGCAGATCCCGGGCAGTGCCTCATGGCGCTGCCATCAGCCCGGGGCACGGGCGGCTCCCCTCGCTCTTCCCTCCCTGCGCGCGTCCTGTCCGCACACCCCTGGCTGTCGGGGGCGGCGGCCCGACGCGGAGCTCAGAGCCGGGATCCCCGGGACGCCGTTCCCGTGTTCGGGCTGGTGTTCGAAACGGCGACAGCCTCCTGAGCCCTGCGTTGGAGCAATGGCAGGAAACCTTGGGGGGAAACAGTTGTGTAACGTGGCCCGGGGGGTGAGCAGACCAAGTTATCGGATCTAGCGCTTTGGGCTCTAGTATCGGCTCCATGGGCAAATCCCGTAGACAGAATTTGAGTGCTTAAAATTAGGCACTGGAATGTGGGTTTAGACACCAAAATGAAATTATGAAAAGGCTTTGAAACTAACCCACCACTCCAATATGAGATAGGAATTGATACCATTTTACAACTGGAGAAACTGAGGCACAAAGGTGTTAGGGTCAGAACCTTCTAATGTAAGCACTTACTTTGCAGCCTAAAGGAGTGGCATTTAAATTCACTGTAACTCCTTACTTTTATAATATTTAAAATGACTATCATTTAAAATCCATTTTGCTGGAACTGCCTCAGGGAGGACAACTGTACAATTCGAGAACCAGTTTTCTAGAAGGACTTAATATCTTAATATGAGGATCCAATCCTTCTGAAAACCCTATAGGTGGTTTTAGGGACAACAGCTTATATGTTATCAGGTGTTACTGGAGACAGTCTTGATTCTTTTAATTGGGAGACAGTACTTTAGCAGGTTTAGAAAACCTACAAATATTTTATGGAATATGAAATGCCCATGATTTTGGAATTGGGATGTTTGGATCTGAAACAATAAGCCAGTTTGGAATGATGCTTAATAATATACAGGGACACCATTTAGTTGTTTGAGTGTGGTGTTTCTGAAGCCAAACCTAGTTTCCAATGTAGGACTGAAAATTAGACAGGAGTAATTCTGAACCTTGCACCTGGAAATGAACTTTGGTTTGAAAGTATAACAAATACACTTTCAACAGGGTATAAATAAATCTGTTTACAGTCTTGGAGCCCTATATTTCCATCTCCCTTATGTGGAGACCCCTGTTATTCAATTGGAACTTTTAGGCTCTAGGCTGCAAGTGAAATTGCAGTTATGGTTAAGAGTATATGTGTAAAATTTCTACACAGAAAATATAAAATGTGTAGTGTTCTCACAGTGTGCGGAAGAGACATTTAATGAGCACACAGGTAATATTTTAAGAACTCTGTGACGTCTGCTAGGGAACTCACTGCAGATTTAATTTATCTGGGAAAGTGTAAATAGGCACTATAGAAAATCCTTAAATTTGGGTTTGTCTACATATGAAAATTATTCCAGATTAAGGTAGGCTGTGAATTTAAAGCCCAATAGCTATTCCTGAATAACATTATGTTTTGGTGTGGCTTAATCCAGTTCCAAAGAGGATTAAGCTAAATTGGAAAAAGGCATTCTTATTCTGGCATAACTACTGCATGTATAGATAAACCCTGAGACGAGAGAGCGCTAATGAGAATTAGAAGTTCTCAGAGGGGTAGCCGTGTTAGTCTGGATCTGTAAAAAGCAACAAAGAGTCCTGTGGCACCTTAAAGACTAACAGATGTATTGGAGCATAAGCTTTCGTGGGTGAATGCCCACTTCGTCAGATGCATGTGACCCACGAAAGCTTATGTTCCAATACATCTGTTAGTCTTTAAGGTGCCACAGGACACTCTGTTGCTTTTTAGACGTTCTCAGACTCCCAAACTGATAAATGCATTTTGCAGTGCCTATGGAAGCAAAACAGGGTCTCCAATGTCCTGGACTATGCTTTCAAATAAAAAATAAAATAACTTGCAAATGTCTTTTATTCACGTTCATACTTTTAGGTTTAGAGGATTAAAAGGCATAAAGAGGAGCTTGTGATTCAAGAAAATATAGTAGAACCTCAGAGTTATGAACACCAACCAGAGTTACGAGCTGACAGGTCAATCATGTACATACCTCATGTGGAACTGGAAGTACCCAGTCAGGCAGCAGAGACAAAACAAACAAATACTTGTACAGTATAGTACTATGTTAAACATAATATTCTAAAAAAAGGGAAAATTAAAAAAAAAAGTTTGACAAGGTAAGGAAACTGTTTCTGTGCTTATTTCATTTAAATTAAGATACAGTAGTTAAAAGCAGCATTTTTCTTATGCACTGTAAAGTTTCAATGCTGTATTAAGTCAATGTTCAGTTGTAAAGTTATTTCGAAAGAAGAACCATAATGTTTTGTTCAGAGTTATGAACAACCTTCATTCCCGAGGTGTTTGTAACTGAGGTTCTAGTGCAGGGATTGGCAACGTTTGGCACGCCGCCTGCCAGGGTAAGTCCCCTGGCTGGCTGGGCCGGTTTGTTTACCTGCCGCGTCTGCAGGTTCGGCTGATTGCAGCTCCCACTAGCTGTGGTTCGCTGCTCCAGGCCAATGGGGGCTGCGGGAAGCAGCGGCCACCACTTCCCTGGGCCCACACGGCTTCCTGCAGCCCCCATTGGCCTGGAGAGGCAAACTGCGGCCAGTGGGAGCTGCGATCGGCCGAACCTGCGGACACGGCAGGTAAACAAACTGGCCCGGCCGCCAGGGGGCTAAAGGTTGCCGATCCCTGTTCTAGTGTATCTGTCTTGAACTACTACATTTAGCTTCTGTTTTATCACCAGAGTTTGTGTGTGTGACCCCCTGCCCTAACCGCCCCCCACCCCCAGGATCCCATCCTCTGTCCAACTCCTCCCTGTCCCCTGACTGCCCCAAGCCCTATCCACACCGTGCCCTTTGACAGCCCCCTCGGGACTCCAACGCCTATCCAACTGATCCCTGTCCCCTGACTGCCCCCCAGAACCTCCTGCCCCTTATTCAACTCCGCTCCCCACCCCCTTACCATTGCCGCTGAGAGCACCAGGACTGGCAGCCGTAAGTAGTACACGGTAAGTAGCACATTCCTACGGGGAGCAATTTAATACACTACACCTCACTTAACGT